GTATCCATCGTGGTAGTGTATAGTCATGGTCAGCTTGTTAGTGTGAGCTTATTGGCAGTGACTTTATTCAGTGGCGAGTCACCTCCGCCACGTCGCAGTTTGGTTAAACGGACATTTGTGGCTTTTTATAGGAAAAAGGCTTGCCTGGCGAAAAACCACCACGTCTTGGAACACTGCCATCAACGCATTCGAACGACAAGCTGCAATTGGCAATGCTTCTTATTGACCGATTATTTGTTATGTTAGTCGCAGCCAGGATAAACCCATAATCTTCGCTGGCTGATGCATGATGGGGCGGGACTGTATCATCCATGAGTCCCGTCACTTCCTGACGGAATGACACGGCTTGTACGGTAGGTAAACTGTAAATCGAACATGCTAGCATGTTTTGTATTTGTCGTCGGTAGAACCGCGTAATGTCTCCGATGCGTATCCAGTAATATGTTGTTGAACCAAATATTAGAGAAAGAATGTTCAAAACAACCGTTCAGGCCCGAGGAAGCTGCTAGCTGTCCTGAATAATGAACCGGAAACCCTCCCAGGGTAAATGCTCTTGCTTGTGGACCTAAGCATCCACGAACGTATGGACGGTAAAAGTAGTGCGGTCAGCTCCAGGTGCGGTAAGCTAATAGAATTTCAGTAGTGTAAAGGGCCGAACGCATTTGTTCTTGCCACAGTGAAAGTATTGTGTGTAAAAGTATTGTGTTGGGATGGTTCCAAATTACGTACACAGAACATGCAGGAAGCTCTGCCCTCCAGTTAGGTAAAATGACCGAGTGGACACTAAATGTCAGCAACTCCGAATAAGAGTTATGTGAAGAAGAGGCGAGCTGAACCCAGTTGTTCGGGCCTTGATATAGTGGCATCCATCCAAGCTAATAGATAAGTGTTTTGTCCATCCGGTAAGTATCAATGCAGCGTAATGATTATCCATACATTTCCAGATAAGGGAATATTGCGCTTCGTTGAAGTGTTGGACGTATCTTCGGGTTCTGTCCACAATAATGTGAGCATGTTTTCACTGACTGTATCAGGGATCATTCGCGGACAACCCTTTATTCGCTTATCGTTAGACGGTCTCTCTGCGTAGGTGGGAAATAAACGGAGGCTTGAAGGTGTCCGGTACCATTCCGGAGAATAACTTCTTATGGCGCAGCAGACTGCTAGCAGCGGCCAGACTCTTCAACAGGTCCTGCATGGTCTATAGGTTAGAGGGAACTAGTACACTTAAATCTTTATGTTGAACAGCATTCTTGAGAAGGAAAGCGCCAATATGGTACGTAGCCAGGGTCCCAAGCTTACCTATTGGAAAACACAACGTTTAACGTAATTTAGGGATAAGTCCCAGTTGATGGACTGTTGGCATAATACCTTTAGCGAGTCTTGTATTCTATCAGCGGCCGCAAGATAGGGTACCTTGTGCCAGAGCTAAATAGCAGCTGCACAGATTAGACCTCCATGTTGAAATAATCCGGGAAAGTCGTTACCGAACAGCTTGGATAATTCGGACCCAAGTACAGAAACTTGCGGAATTCCACTGGTCATATGCACTGTCTGAGAATGTGTCTCATTTAGCTTCCCCTGCATTGTTCCGTCCAGCAAAGTCATTATCCGGGAGTAAAGGTTACCAATGACGGCAATTTCTAGGAGCTTTTAAAGAAGCCGTTGACGTGGAACCTTAGCGAATGCTTGGCCTTAATCGACGCAGACAATATGCAAGTCTTGGCCGGCATCTATTGATCTCGTACCTTTTTGCTTGCGACAGCAGGTTAGGGGTGAAAGGGCGTCCATGCTGAAACTCATGCTGTGTAAGCATGTGCTGGTCAATTCATCACGGTGCTCCTAGAGTGCTCGCAGACTATCGATGTCGAGCAACTAGGACGATAGCTTAATTTGTTTTGTGGTTTCCCGCCTTGGTGCTTGGTATCACGGTACCTGTTTTCCAGTCGACGGGTATGTAACCATTTGTAGAGAGGTGTGAAAGAGTTGGCTGATAAGTACAGATACGTATGCAGCAGTCTTTAGGAAAGGGGATGAAGGCCGTCAGGGTCGGGTGGGGTTAGCTCTATTTCTAATAGGAGTCTCTTAATAGGTACATTGCTGCTTTTGATCGGATGCAGACAATGGGAAGGTTTAAACTCATAGCTGTTGGTAGACTGCGCTTACATCCCACATACGCAGGAGTAATGCTTTTCCAGAAAATTTGCTTTTGCGATATCCTCGTACGGTACAGCGTTGGTTGTATGGGATAACAGCGCGGGTGTGGCCAGGCTGGCTATGGTCCTTCTGTTAATGTACGCATAGAACATATTGGGAGTAGACCGGAGAGGACGTGGAATCTCCGCGTTGTAAACGTTGCCAACTGTGAACCCATGCCAAGTTATCTACATTGCGTAGGAGTGACTCTTGCCTCTCCGTCCCGAATTCTCCTTTTATGTTGCGCCTTGCCTATGTCAGGTCACCACGGCGACGGCGATGGTACTGTAGGAAGAAGTTCATATGTCGTCGTCGTAGGGGCTATAGCAAGTAACGCGGCACTGATGAAGTGCTGGATACACATCTCCGAACCATTTCGAATAAAGCGCGTTCAAGATGTGAGGGGAGCATATCAACTAATATATATTTTAGTAATTGACAGAAGATGGAAGGAGACAAGAGCTAGTATCGGCAAAAACATATAGGCTGCCTGCGAAAGCCGACAGCAGAAATTAGCTAAATAACCGAGGGCCGCATAAGCGCAGGCTGAGCGCTCCACGACCAAGGTCACGACGACACGCAACGCGCCGGTTCCGCGGGGGATAAAACAACATGGTGCGTCATGGAGTGTACAACGCCTGAAGTGGAACTGGCCGAAATGTGTGTATGTGTGTGGGTACGCAGTTGCTTTTGGAGCCTTTAATCCATGTATAATACATAACCATGGTGAATACTTGCATCTAGACTTGCGTATGTGTGTGGCCCTAAAGTAGCATCATTAAATTATTGATGGCGTTGGACCCCTTCTCTATATGCCCCAGGTAAAAGCACTGTACTACATCATGAAAGCAAGAAGGCCGATCTACTGGCCTCGCAAGGTCTATTCGGTAGAGCCACGGTTGCCCAACAACGACATGCCCACGGGCTGCATAACTTTGGAGCAAGCTGAAAGTAACCTCGGGATGGTCATGCGACTAACCCATGGGTTGGACCCTAATACCGCACCAGGCCGACGGACTACACCCACTCTTCCGTAAGATGATGGCCGGGTACAACGCCGACCCAATGCCCCAAGTATTCCGGCTCTCACTTGCAGTGAGCCGCTTACCTAGAGCTTAGAAAGCTAAAATAATAGTGCCTGAAAACCGGCAGGAACATGCCAACTACCGGCCGATAGTTATGACGTCTTTTGTCTGTAAACTCAAAGTGAATAAGCAAGCACGTCCTCCACGCTAAACGTGAAGACTTATGCGTAAGCCCCTCCTCATAACACGGATTTCTCGGGGCACGCTTCCACATCACAAACCTGGTTGCTGCCAGAGAAGCATGGGTAAAAGCAACAGACGAGGGTAGATATCTTGACGTCCTCTTCAAGGCTTTTAGTAAGGCATTTGACAAAGTGCCACATGAACGGTTTCTGCTCAAACCTCAAGGAGTTGGACTCCTCGGAAACTTCTTGTCCTGGATCGCAAACTTCCTAGAAGCACGGATCATTCAAGTGAAGGTGAACCAAACACTCAGTCCCTCTGCATATGACCGGTGGGGTTCACCAAGGCTCCGTCATTGGACCTGAGGTCAGTAAACTGTACATCAACGATCTTTCATCGAAACGTCGAAACGATAGTCTAGTCTACGTTGATGACTTCAAACAGTGGGCTGAAATATCTTGTCTTGAGGATGCCGACAGACACCAAGCTTTGTTTGACCAGCTGCATAAACGTTTCGTTGTATAGTGACTCCCTGTAAACGGTGACGTGCGCCGCTCTCCCGATTGGTGACCCTGATCCTTTGGGGGCGTAGCATATAACTAAATAAATGCTTCATTCCCAAATGAATCGGAGCACAACAAACCAAGCTTGATCGGAGGCTATCCAGTCAAGCCTGTCAAACATGAGAAGGACTTGGGTGTCCATGTCTCGCGGACCTCAAAACCTCCATTGACACACAAAAGAAGGTCGCGGAATCCAAACGATTGCTCTGGGGCTTGCATAAGTCCTGCTGCAAAATTACGTCTGTGACTTTTAGAAGCTTATTCGCTTGACATCGCTGTCCTATCCTGGAATATGGTCACCTGGCGGATCACCCCTTAATGAAACCTGGCCATGAGCTGGTAGCGTAGATGCAGAGGCGCGGTTCAAAATCTTTATGGGAGATACGGGACCACCCATCCCCACTTCAACTTAAGACTTTGCACCTGTTCTCCATGAATTACTGCCGCCATCGCCAGGATCTCTTCATCAAGCGTATCTTGGGGGAGAGCTTGAATGTGAGCTACAGCAGTGTTACCATCCCAATGGGGACAGCTCGACACTTGGCCACAAAAGATAGTTAGTTAATCCGAGGACACTTAGCAGCCGTCAGCAAAATGCACTATCCTCCATAGCGTTAAATGATTGAAACAGTTCGCCGAAACACAAGACTGATTCGCAGACAGGAAAGTTTCAAGCCATTAACAGACGCTCATCTGACGCACCTGGCAGGGTTCTGCTGCTCCTACTTGAAACGTGACGATCTCCGAAGCAGTAAGGACTCCGGACGGCAAACACCCACCCTATGATGTTTCGAAACCGATGGAGCTGACCAGACATCTTCTTCCTGCTCTTACGATGAACATGTATTCAAATGTATGCCAATGCAAAAACTAATTTAGATGGTTACGTTAATTCTTAGCCCTCCGGTAAAAATTCCCCTTATTTTAACTTTTCCTATTATTTTTTGATAATTCTGTTAGATTGATCTACATGAATCTTGCAATACTTTTCTAATACGATGTTGTTTTAGGGATCGGCTGACAAAAATGCTTTCCCGCCATTCCACTTGATGGACGCTCCACACAGTAATATGCAAATAAGTCATTGTAGTTCGTCTTGCATTATAGAAACAACTGTGAACTTAACGGATTCACAATGTACATTGGATTACAGTTTTTATGTTACAGTACCTTTCACCACAGACACAACTGAGCTTAAGAACATTAATAAACACTGGCCTATCCTAAATAGATGGCGTTAACCAAGTTTTTGCTTAAGTTATTCGCAGTCTCTTTAGTCAGCACCGCACGCGCTGTACTTCCTCGTGGTGCGGTTGAGTCCGTGAATACTAGGGTTTGTACCATGGAGAGGAGTGAAGTAATTTCGTGTAACGTTTTTAACGACCACTTTGGAAGTCACTGCAATTCTGGTCATAGTTCGTCTGCCGTTAAAGGCCTTTCAGTTGGGTTGATTGGATCGCATTCCCCTACCGACGTCATCTCCGAAGACTTTAATTCTTGTGCTTCAAACACTTACGATGAGTACTTTGATGTTAACAGTGATAAAGAAGGTAAAACCCTGCGAACCTCTTCCACGTTGGAAGAGTTACGGAAGCTCTTGGCAAACATCAAGTGCAGTTCCAGGCTCTCGCTACCCAGAAGTTTGGTCCTTGATCTACCGAAATCTGATAATTTTGGTTTCGTCACTAAATCTCTGGGTGAGGTGACTGGAAGAACTTTCCATCACTCAGTTGATAAGTATTACGATGAATCGGACCATGTGCACGCTGTTCGGGGCTACACGAAGAACGAACAGCGTGCTGATAAGCTTTCGCTCATTTCTCGGCCAGTAGCAGCTCGTCTCCCTATTCGACGCCTTGAGGATGTAATATATTGTCCGTCCGGCTCAATCCCTCGGCAGACATCTTACTCTTCATCTTCCGGAAGCTTGATCGGTAACATTGACAGTCTTTCTTTCCAACCGGATGGTGTTGTAATGAGCGGCGGAAGTCAGTCGGTTTTCCATCCGTCATTCACTTTGGATAGACTAATGGAATCCGATGAGTCAGATCCAGATAAAGGTGAGGCATATTATCCACTTACATTACTATAGGTCCCACGTCTCAGTTTCGCCGGACTCATTCTGTTGAAGAGGTATGTCCCTCCAAAATGTTCCTTATCCTTACATTCCATGTTCTATTGATTTTATGCGATTTGACCAGTTCCTGCCGTATCGCGATTGATATCTTTGTCTGAATTCGTGTGTGATTCGCGCCTGGTGCTCTAATCGGCTCAGCCATTTCCATAGCTACCACATAATGTCCAGTGTCATATCCGCATTAAAACCAAACGATGCTCTTATGCATGGGGCGGGGATCCAAGAAATTTAATAATTAAGTCGACGTATCCTGTACCCGAAACCTGTTGTACTATCCACTACCACTCGAAAACCGCTGAGCGACATGTTGAGGTGTCCATAGTGGGTTGAGGTGGTAGCGATGCTATTTTTATTTACATTCGTTTGACTGACGAGTTGAGCCTTGACAGCTTTTTCCTTTTATGGATTCCAGGAAGGTGCGATCGTTGCCCTATACTTGTCCGTAGCTTGACCTGTAATCTGAGGGAACGCGTTCGAGTCTGCGTAGGGGACCGGACCATCCTCGCAATTCCTTAGCCCACGTGCGACCGGTTGAGATTGCGGAGCGTCAATACTGTGTGCCGACGTACTGCTGATGCCTTTACCGGCGACGGAGAGTAGGGTCACCCGGGCTAGAATGGGTATATATTGTGCTTCTTTTTTCATGCAATAGCTCAGGTCAATGAATTTATTTTCGTCGTTTAAATATCCCCCCCCACAGTTTGCCTATTTTACCCTATGGCTAGGAAAAAATAGGTGTACTTCCTGGTAAAGCGGGTATATCGCCTTCCACCAGTATTAAGATAACCTTATAGTAAAATGAAGCAGGCGCTAACAAGTTTTGTACAAAATCGTGTTGTTGATAAAGTTTGTTACTTCAGGATAATTTTTGGAGTGTTACTGAAAAAACCTGTAATCGTGATACTACGGTCTTGTCAATGGGGTCTGGCATAAACATTTCACTGACAGCATATCGCTAGTCAAATTTATATTTTTTTACGGCTATTGCAGGCAGATTATAGCACCATTTTAAGGATGTTTTTAGCTAACATCAATATCATCTATTGCTGGAAAAACGTAGTGAGACCCAACCAGTGATTTATCCAAAGATTTCACCGTGTATAAGCCTTTTCCTGGTGTTTCAATAACATGTCTCCGGAACTTGTGCAGCCATTTTCCCTTCATATTTAACTGAAACAGTTTCCAATGATATTATTGCATGTATCTTTATCTTCACTCATTTGTTTACTTTCTCCAGTCTGCTCTTTATCCATCGGCAAGTTAGTGGATTTGGCTTTCTCTTAAATTGTCTTCTCAGATTTGTTGCCTTTTCTTTCCGTTTCTTCGTTAAGGAATCCGGCTGGTACCTCCTCTGTTAATAATTATTCAAGTATTGCTCATGGATTCCAACTTAATTGGCGAACACATCGGTGAAGCCGTTTTTGTTATGGACTGTTACAAAACGGTGATAGTCCAACCTTATTCGGAAGTACTTAGTTGAGGATCATCAGCTATACTTCTTTATCTCTCTTGTTCCACCGTTTCTGTGACTGTAGTAACGGCCATAGCATTGCTTACAGACTACAATTCTGCATGGCTGCATGGCTTCTTTGTCAATTGGGTAGACCTCTGCCTCTAAATGCAATATAGATATTAACTCACCTTAGAATCTACTAGTCGAGCATTATGAGAGCTACGAATAAAATCGAACCATTTATCTCCAATAAACTTGTGTCATGTTCTGCAAACTATGGACCTTTATCCCATCTAGGTTAATCAGCGGCGATTTCAAAAATGTATTAACTTTCATTTTGATTGGTCTGCAAATTCAAAGAAAAATGTTTACTACTCAGCAATATGTAGCACATGCCAGTCTATGTTTAATATTAAGTTCTTTTCAGTGGGTTTTACCAGCTAGTATAGACACATGGCAATCAAAAACTAGATGGCGGAGCTTTCTGTATTGTAGTAACAAAGCAAAGTATTGTCAGATTATGCGAATTAGCTGCAAAAATCATACGGCTTTAATAAGTCTACAAATGTCCACACAACTTTAACAAATTATTTAACACAGGTTTTAATCTAACCACTTTACCCCATCACCCATTTTATCCCGGGTGACCCTATAATGCAAATTCACTAACTGCATTCTAGATCCTTAATGTTTTGGCACGCTCGGACCCTTACAAATCGGCTGGACTTGATGATGTGCGTCTGGCCATTGTTAAGCTGCTCACTGACATACTCCAATATACTGTTTTGGACCTGTTTAGCACGTCAATTCTCGAAAGAGGCAGCTGTAATATTGATACTTAAAAGGTGCTATACATCAGTTCCTGTCAACTATAGGCCTGTCAGCCTTACTAGCCTACTGCTTAGATGCTTGGAACCGGATTTGTAGGCACTTAGTTGTCCATAACTTCATAGGAGCGAGGCAGCACGGCTTCGTCAGGAAGAATTCATGCCTCACCAATCTGCCGTGCCTTTTGTAAGAGATAACCCGCTGTCTCGACGATGGGATTTCCGTAGCAGTTTGTTATCTAAACTTCTGTCATGCTTTCCACTTTGTTGATCCTCGTTTCTTACTGGAAGAGCTGATACATTCCCAACTAATGAATTGAATAGCGGAATTTGCAGAAACACCTGTGTTGGTGACTCAAGCACAAGACCCGCTCACAGTGGTATTTCCCAGGTTTTTGTTCTAGGCCCGCTATTATTCCCTATGTATATAAACAACAGTTCCTCACCCCGAAAACCCTTGTTACATCTTCGCGGACGATGTAAAACCCGTAAACAGGTGCTGTCGAAAGATCTTTGCACTGTAGCGGGGTAGTCGTCCTTGTGGGACTTGACTCTTGCTTTTAATAAATGTTACGTTGCAAACTACTGCCGGCACTTTGACGTTGCGGCGCATTGATGAAGCACGTGATTTAGGTGTCATTGTGCCGAATAACTTCAGCGCGCTGTCAGCAAGGCTTGGCTGTAGCTATTCCGTCTCAGGAGAGCATTATGCGACGCAAAACCTGGGGTTTTCCTTCCTTAATGTAAACCGGTGGCACGATCTCACTTAGAATACTGTGCACCGTATCCGAAAAAATGCTGTGTGCATAGAAAAGTCAAAAATTGGCGATTAAGATGATTGTCAGCCTTGAAAGTCATATGATGAACGCCTTAGAGGCTTGGAGTTGTTTTCCATGGAACGGCGCAGATTGAGAGGCGACCTGGCAGAAGTGTTCAAGATTATGGTCTCAGTAGTGTTTGACCTTCCGATCTGTTCGAACCGGCTGCATCCGACCACCTGCGGAGACATGCACTCGATTCTAAGCATCAGAGATGCAGGCTAGACATTGGGGTCAAATTCTTTGAATCGTGTAGTTCATAGTTGGAACAAGTTTCCTTCTGCCTTAGTGAAACGTACCACTATAGAAGCCCTCAAAAATGCTTGGCTGTGTTGCTCCATTATCCGAAAAAGTACAAAGATTGCTCTTGCTCTTTCGTCACGTGTTTCGCTGAGGCAAGGGAAGCAACTTAAACGTAGAAGTACTAGGGGCCCTGATTTGCTTGTTGCTACAAGAAACAGGATGTTCGTTAGACGGTAGCCTGTTTCGTCCCTGAAATCTGACCTGACCTGCTTACCTTAGTCGTCCGTCGGATTCAGAAAGTCGCTTTGGATTCCGTCTCGGTGTTGATGCACACCCTGCTAATATTGTTGACCGCTCTCTCAAGTGCTATTCACAATCCCTGTCAGTAAAACCGCTTTTCAGTACATGAGCTCATATCGAGTTGCACAGCGGCCACCGATCAACAACCTACTCAAGACCTAAATTGACAACCGCCATCAGCAATCAGTGCTGCACTTCAAATTCGTGTTTCCTCTCGATCTGAAACACTTGTTATGACTGACCATAATATTATGTGCGGCCGCTTAGCGTTTTCCGCCTCGGCGAAATGTTCAGCTTTGAAGGTGCTTACTGTTCAGCTATGTTGGTGATCGCGAGTCAATTATCAGCCTGACTAACAACAACGGTCGGCCGGTGACCGAGTGGTCTGCACGCCTGGCTTGCAATCATAAGGTCACCAGTTCGAATCCGCGTACGGGCGAGCATCCTCGCGGTGTGCTCAGTCCACGTGCGACTAGTGCTGCTCGTGCGGCAGGTAAGCGCTGTTACGGTGTACAGCCGACACATCATTATCCATTGCAATGAGACTGGACCTTACCTTGGTGCGATGGTTTGTGTGCCTCAGCTATGCTGGGGGATGCTTTTTTTGCACCTTCAGATTGGTTAATGGTTAGTGACCAGACAAACAGTCCCCTGCTCCTCTAGGTTTTGGTTAACAAGCGAGTGGCTCTTTATTCCTTAAAACGGACTCCTTCTAGTCCACTGCCAAACCGACTGCTTTGCGATCAGGTTTTTGAACCGAAGGCTTTGGTTGAGAACCCTAATCGTTCTACCCACGCAATACTGTGAATCTATCCTCAAACAATTTCTTGATGCTCTGACCACCGCAGAGGATAATCAACTGGGCTGTTATGACCACCGCTCCACCCCAATTGCCTGTGCGAACCCCCGGCCTCTGCGTTGCTATGGTCACGGCGTCACTGATTTGCTGTTCGACGCCGGCCACAGATTGGCTGACAAACAACAATGGCAGACTTCGTGAAACCGTGTATTTGCCGAACGACAAGACTAAAAGTGGAACATGTGGGTTACATTTTTAGGTATTAGGCGATTTTGAATATTCTTCGTTCCTTTTTCTTCCTTACTTACCAGCAATAGTATCAGCATCTTCGGAAACGAAGAAATCTTGGCCGAATCCGTTTTATTTTTGTAGAAAGCAAACGCCACCGGTCGATTCGTTAGGAGCGCCTTTCCTAACACTTTCCCGTTCGAAGTCCACTGGTGTACGGTTTCAGTTTGGGATTGACTTGGAACGGTGTGCCGGGACTCTGCATCGGTCTGTCCATCTTCTGGGCCGACATTCAGGGGTAACACAGGGTGTAGTATGTTCATCTTGA